TGCTTTTTGTTTAATAGTAATAATAATCATTTTTATTATAACAACAATAAACCAGAAGAAGATTCCGTAGTTACCCCGGCAACGTTACGTCGCGCTTTACGTTAACGTGACGTAGCCACATTACCCACAATCACCTCACTTTCATTAATTTCATCCGATTTAATCTGACAACGGACAACAGTAAGTATCTAAAATCAAGGGGAGTTTATTTCTTTAAAACACGAAATAATATTGCTTTTATTTATTCCACTGTAGCACAGTCTCTATAGCGTTTAATTCCTGGATATTAGTTTGAGTTTTGTAGTGTGTTTAGCTTTTACAATAGGCCAACTAGCGGCCACGTTCAGCTAGCCTCCGGCCTTCCGGTCAACGTTTTGAGCTGGATAGCATTTATAGTTTATACAGCTAAATTACATTAGCTGTCACCGGCACAGTTGGATAGTGGAGGTGCGTGCTAGAAAAATATATTTACATTTATGTATTTGCACATGTGTTGTAAAGACAGTGTTCAACACAGTTTTAATAGTGGCTAATGCATCGGCTATGGAGTGGAACAAAAATGTGGAACTGGAGTTTTTCCAGAGGATTTGACTGGCCACCCAATGTCCCACTCTGAATCAGAAATACTTCATTGATCTCCGGGGGAAATTGGGATTGTTACATTGTAGAATTTAAATATATAGTAGAAGATATAAGAAAAACAAGTGCATAATATAACAATATGCACAGTATAAATGCATAATGTATGCCAGAGTATTGCTCAGATGAATTATTATTGCATATAGAGTAATGCACAGATTAATTATTATTGCATAGAGTATTACACAGATGTTACTGTTATTCGAAATAATCCTAATCATGTTTTTCTTTTTTTCTGTTTTACAGCTTCATTACAACACTTAATATCACCAACACACACATATCCACACACACACACATATAAAACCAACAGCACTTTTAAGAGCCACTCTTTCTCTCACTGTCTCTCTTTCTATCACTCTCTCACTTTCTCTTTTAATCACTCTCTCACTTTCTCTGTTAATCCCTCTCCTGTCTTTCTCTCACTCTTCATTTTGTGTATTGTTTGTATTATTTGTATGCCATGTCCCTCAACCCTGAAGTGAGGGTCTTTGAGGATCTCAATGAGGCCACGGTGCACATGGCATCATTGATTAGCGAGGCTCATCTCCTTGAGGCCAGGGTGAGGCTTTTCATGATAAGCAAATACCCAAGTCTGTAATATAATCATTGCTATTGCTTTTTATTGATGTAATGTAAAGGGACAGTTAGTCCTTTTTATGCAACCGTTAAATAATTGCTCAAATATAAGTGCTGCTGTCTTATGTTGTATTACAACTTTGTTGTTGATCTCAACCTCTGAAAAAATATAGACTGCCATGGCCACGGAAACCCCTGCCATCCCTCCGAAAAAGAAAAGAAAAAGCAGGAAGAGACCTCTTTCTAATCCAGTGGTCACACGCAGACGTGAGAGACAATGGGAAACACAACGCCCCGCATCAGGTTAGTTCTTTACTATATCATGATTTCTAAGTCTAAGAATAAAGATAATTCATAACAAAGTTATTTTGGTGTACACAGTATGAAATTATGTAATTTAAAGATACCTCTTGACAAATCTGTTGCAATGTTTAAAACATTTCCAAATGAAATCAAGATATTTTAAGAGCCTGTGATGATAATCCTTGCCTGTGTTGTATTTTTTAAAATGTGTACCTCGATTTGGATAAAAGTATGCCAAATGTAAATTGTCATTGTGATGCTGTGGTAATAAGTTCTTAGTTTCATTACCTACAGTCCTTACAGAGCATTTTCATATTACAATGAATTGGTGTCATTTTAGATTGATTGAAGGGTTAAGCAAAAATGACTGTCTCTGCAGCTTCACAAGCCAGAAGAGACGATCCTGTGTATGAGGAAGGCCTTCAGCTAGAACATCAAGAGTTTGGTAGTCTTGGTGAGTATATTGATTATAACAGCAGTTGACTGGCACTACAGTTTTTCCCAATGTTTCCATTTGTATACTCATCTAGTTAATCATAATAAAGTATTGAGTATTGACTGTTTCATGACAAGTGAATGCATATTTGGTATAAGTATCACTTGCTAATATTGCTTTGGATGCATATGATGATTCATAGCATGTTGCTATTATTAGTCTGCATATATTTTTCCAACTCAAAAGTGGTTCAGTATACTACCTTAATATCCATCATACCAGTTTTAGGGTGGCGGCTTAACAGCTGTTTTATTTTTTAGAAACTCATCTTTAAGAGTTAAGGGACACCCTAACTGCAGTACAGGTTCCGGAGGCAACAGACGGAACGGTTTCTGCCTGGGCACAAAGGCAGCTTCTCACAGATGTGAGAATGAAAACGGCTAGGCCAATGCTTTTTAATGCAAAACTCTCAGCTGAGAGAATAGCCATTCAGAAGTGCCACAGATGCTGTGCAGAAGAAGCGGCTATTAGGTGCCTGGACTGTGTTCCACTGGACATGGAGTTCCTCTGTGCAACCTGTGACATGGAGGCCCACAAGAGGAATATCTTCCATGACAGAGAGGCTGTGTTCAATGGATTTCTGGAGCCCATTCCCCCTACAACTGCTGTGGTGGTGGATGAAAATGGCCAGCCTCAGTTTTGTGAACAAAGTATGTAAAGGTTAACATTACATTACAATGTCCCATTATAATGTAGTTCCCAAAATTAAGTGCGAATGGGAAGTGTACATAGCTGATTGAAAAAAGTATGATTGGTTTTGACTAGGGCTGCAAGATATGTGGAAGTTATGCAACATTTTATTGAATATCTTTATAATCTGGAGAATTAAGGAAAAACTGTAAATACACCCTTCCTAATTTATTTTCTATATTGCAGTATGTCAACTGCCCGTTCCTACTCCAAGGTCAATCTGTGAATGCTCTGATGACGTCACAGTGACTCCTTGGAAGCATATTTCTGTGGTCACCATCAACGGTATGTTGTTCTGAAAGCCCTTCTTTTTGTACAAGTAGTATTGTACGGCAGAGTTTTACCACTTGGTGCAATGCAAAGATTTGTATCACCTGGTCATTTTCAGACAACACCCAAATGCCATGTCAAATAGCTAATATATCATATATGCACATCTATGTATAAAATCCAATATTTTAAGGCAAACTCACAGTTTAATTACCGAAATACCTTTACTTTTTCCATTTGTTCACAGGACGATACAATGTCTGCTTGCCTCGGAAATCCTGTCCATCCTGCTCTGCAGAATGGACTCCTGAGGTTAAAGACCTGCTTTTGTATCGGTACTGGACAGCTAGCACCAGCTGCCAGACGCTTTACAAATATGATGTGTTCACCTCATTCGAGCACATGAAGGTGACAGCACCAGCCATGTCCAGGCAGGCATTTCTGAAAATGTTGGAGCACAGATCTGTTCAAGCTGGACGGGTAAATCTGCCTGAATCACACGGAAACATACAAAAAACAATATCATATTACTGTATACCATATCATAAATTGTTGGCATTGCTTTCAAAACAATTACTAATCCACTTTTTTTAAATCAATATACAGACAGGTATTATCTGTGCTGATACATTTCAGCGAAGCTTCTTCTAGTTTTGCTTCTGTCAGTACAAACAAGAGGATATGTGCCAGGTCCATCACTTTGTTTGTCCAGCATGTTCTCCAGACATGTTGGCTGTCTGCTGTGATGGAAACCGCAAGCATTACCGCTTTTCCAAGTCAAAAGGGTATGTATAGGTATTATTGAAAATGATAAAGAACACACCGCTAATACAAATAGTAGCCCTTGGGGTTGTGTTTGAGTAGCCATAACAGACATTAAAACAAATCATAGTAATGTAGTGCTTTGTGATTTTTATTATTGACTTGTATGTTAACTTATCATGGACAGGACTGAGGAGCCGCCAATCTATGAGGGCTTGTTCCTGGCCAAGGATGAGGAAGTCGCAACATTTGTTGACCTTGTCAGAGGCAACATGAAAAGTGTACGTTTTTTTTCTTATTATGATAGTTGCAGTTACACCTGTGGTGTTCTTTTTTATATATGTCAAAACTTGTGTGTAATAAACTGACTTTATAGGGAAATGACAGTGCCGTCTGTGGTACTGCCAAATTCACCGCTGGCAGAGAGATGTCAAAAAAGTCTGGTGCCCAGATAGACGAGGAGGGCATTCAAGTGGCAGTTTGCAGGTATGTATTTGTAAGTGTGTCTGTGTGTGTATATGTGTTTGGTTCTTGAGTCTGGTCTCATTATTTCAGTTTTAATAGCAATCCAAGTCTAAGTCTTTGTAAGAATTGGAAGCATTAAACACTTTTGATTGTGGAGCGGAATTGATCCATCCTTTGTAGCATCCAAGTGATATTTGTTGTTATAGCCACCTAGATGACAGAGATGAGTGCTTAAGCCAGGCCTTGCTGTGTCAGTTTATTATTAACAACTAGATTTTCTTCTGATTAATCAGACATGGGTTTCTCTTACGAGGACTGAACCACTTCCGTGGAGAAATATACGCGTACCCAATGTTTCTCCAAAAAGAGATGTCCAAGAAGGCAAATGTTGACTTCTTCTGTATGGATGTAACATGCAGGTAATCCTCACTGTCATATTGCACATCCACAAAAATGTTTAAAATGGCCTATGCCTCAGCAGTCATTTTAGATGATATTGATATTGTTGTCATGTCAATTAAAAGTTTATCTTTGTAACACTCAATCACAAAATGCTGCTCCTGCTTCTTAGGTACTGGCCATACCTTAATAAAAATAGCCGAGGGATTACCAGAGCTTCTGCCGTTGACAGAAATGAGGCCATTTCTTAGCGTGATGCATGCTAAAGCCCATACAGCAAAATGCGAGGTACATAACATCTTTAATGCAAAGGATTTTTAATGTTGTGCATGGCATGCCTTATTGGATATCAAAAACGTTGCTATATAACACTATTTGCGCTGTGTTGCAGGTAAGATGGGGTGGCAGAAGTCAGGACGGGGCAGGAAACACAGTGGGAGAGGAAGTAGAGCAGGTATGTTATTAATGGCATTATTATAACTGTATGGATACAAGAGGTCTTAATAGAAAGCAGTACAAATATGTATGTGTCATCTCAGTGACAAGCCTGTTGATTAGTTTAAAGCATATCCTTTATGTCTGAGTTCAAATGAAAGATAGGCAGCTCATATGTTCAGCAACACTAAATGCATGCACATTGTAGGAAGTCAGTACACAAGTTTTCTCTTAAACCATCCAGTTCAAGATCTATGATGTGTAGGTAATATTGTTATGTAATGGTGACCGGACATTAATTGTAACATTCATTATAGGTGAACAGCTTTCTCTCCAGGGCAGCTCTGGTCACAAAATACATGACAAAATCAGGTTGGTATTAACACTACACACTGCGATAAGGCAGCCCTGATAAGTATTTTACAGAGAGTTCCCTCCGTAAAAACATTATTGGTGTATTACCAGTTCAACAACCTTTTAACGATTGGGTTTAGTCATGTCTATCAGGTTTCTCACTCAGTATTGCCTTTTTGATGTGAATACTTACTTTTTTGTTTGTGGATATATTTTTGTGTTTTTTAGGAAGAGTGAACATGCTTACTCAACAGGCCATGGGATGGAACAGAAGGAAGAGGGACAACCTTCATCAAGTTTTAGCACACAGATATGTAAAAGTAAGGGCAAATTACAATTGTCTTCTCATCTGACATTACATATGAAGGATGTCTGCAATGTAACCTCATGGCTATATACATTATGTTCTCCCTTATCCACACTTCCTCTTGCAAGTCAGATGGTGTCATGGAATGTTTCAACTGTTCTTCTGAAGGTCTTGTACTGAAAACTGGTGTTCTTTGCATTATGGTGTTGCATGGCGCTTTTGCTCTGACATTTTCTTTTTTTTGTAAAGATCACAGAGAGGGCAAAGGTGGAAGCTGCCAGCTTCAGCGACTTCAAAAAGGAGCACAACCTTGATCAGGAGACCATACAGCAGTGGGTGTATGATGTCAGGCAATGGGCGGTCACAGGTAAGACATACCACAGGTTTTCCATATATACATCTGTTAATTACTGTAAGTTTAGACATACAATATAAGTTGGCTATATGTTGAAACTGAGACTGTCACTGATTGTATCTCTTCTCCAATTGTTTTATTGCAACTATTTAGAGAGAGTTTACGCCCCAGGGTGTACTGAAGGATTAAGGGTGGATATTGAGAACATCACCGTCACTCTTTTGCGCAGGAAGCAAGATCTGTATCGTCAGCATGGTTTGTTGTCAAACGTAGTTATTGAAATTACACTTCAAAACAGCAAAAACATTCTGGCACCATGACACAGTTTTGTTTCCGTTTCACTTTGCAGACAGCAACCAGGCAAGGCAAAGAAAGAGGAAGAGAATGAGAGAGCTGAAAAAGAAGCTTCGCGAAAAAGTTGTGCAATACAACACCGGAGTGCAGGAAGAACAGATTGACGAGGAGTTGGCTTGCAGTCTGACAGAGGGCTACATCCTACCATGGGAGAGGCATGCAAATGGTAGGGTAATTGCTAGTTTGGCTTGTTGTTTTTTTAGTCCATACCAAAATATTACAGTTTATCATGGGGCAGAAAAAGCAATGGTGATACCTGCAAATATATAATATGTGTTATTAGTTTACATTATAGAGAACCAATGCTATCGCTACAAAGATTTGTGTCTCAGAAATGAAAATCATTCTGTAATAATATAATTTATGAATAAATATTCCTTGTCTACTACTCCATTTCTTTCCTCAACCTAAAGGCAACACCTTCAGGTTGAAGAGGTCTGTCTTTGAGCAGGTAATGCTGGTCAGACGTTTGGAGGAGGAGCAGAGCATCCTGGTGAAAGAGATGTCGCAGCACATCATGTTCCTTCTGAAGGAAGTGCAAGAAGTGGAAGCACTGAGAGGACAGACTTTGGAGGGCATCAAAACCAGCAGTATGTCTGAGATCTTAACATTTGAATATTTTCATCCACTCTTCAACACATTGCATGTCTTACATAAGTAGAACACATCTGTCACTGTGTCAGGCCGAATTGAAATAGTAAATTACTGAAACTATTCATCATCAAGATCATAATCGATTATTTTCTGTCTATTGACTAATTGTCAAGCACTATATCAAACATTAATCAACATATCCCATTTGGCACCCAATATATACTAACATCCTTCAGTTTAAGATGGATTTACCTACTTTGTAGTGTTTTTACATATGCAGCATTGTACAATGCAAAGAGATTTGCAATTGTCATGGTTTGTTTACATTGAGCCCTTTTTCTGTGTGGTTATTCCTATATATACAGATTTCGGTGACCTGACAGAGGATGCTGCACATGGGCTCAAGAGTGTCCTCAGTCGGAGGTGGCACTTCCTCAAAAGCCAACACAAACAGGCTGTACATGCGTACAGCGGTGTAGCCGCTTTGGAATGCCATGATCTTCAATTACAGCAGGACATTGAGGAGTCGGATGACAATGACTACAGTAGCCCTGAGTCTGAGGAAGAAGACCTGTAAAGGTTTCTGCCAAGCAACACAGAGGCGCTGGAGAGCTCTTTCACAAGGGAAGTGTCACGTCCACACGCTGGCGCACGCCATAATAAAGGCCTACAAAATAAAGACATTTTAAAACACTATATATGAGAACAATATGAAACTATGCACTTGTTTCGCCCGACTGAGTTCATAATAATGTGAAAATGTGTTTATATTTTGTACTTCTGTTTATTTAAAGCGCTTTGACTTGCTGATGTGTATGAAAATAAATTGCCTTGCCTTTATATTAAACTGCCTCTTATTACTCAAACAAGTGCTATACAATGGTTGTTTTCTTGTCACTGCATTTTGTCATTTGTTGATTATGAACTATTTACAATGTGAATACATTGTAAATACATACAATACAATAACATAATTCTTTATTAGTAACGTGCATAATGCAGGGTAAATACCAACACATTCTCACTCCCAACTCGTACTTCTAATTTTGTATTATTTTCTAAACCACACACTGTTATTTACTCAACAATAACACACAATTATTCTTGTGTTTATTTGTTTGATTGTATAATGTCGGACTTTGAGTCCATCAGGACCGAGGGTCGGAGCAGCTCATAGTAGTTGCTTTAGAGAATTTTACACCCGGAAGTAAGTATTCTCTCTTCTTTGCTTGACAAACCCTGTGATAGTCCTCAAGCTCTGTGATTGGATATTGGAGTGGCAGTGCGCAGAGCGTCCAACAGCACTTTGAAATGGAATGGAACCACGACAGACTGTCCAAAACTGGAGTCGGACGGGTCCACCCCCTCCCCCACCCCGTCACCAGAACTACACGTGCTGGCTATTGTGTGTTTCACACATAGGTTTCGCATGTTCTATGGCACGTCTCTACTGGGAATTGTAGTTTTAAAAGACGTTTTCGTATTTCCCATAATAAGAAGTTGTCAGTATTAAACTGTGTACATCCCTGGAGGTTTAGGGGATACGAAACACATGTGTTGCACATTTAAAACATATAATTAATAAATGGGTGAAAATTGCTTGTGTCCATAATGGGCAGCATTACCCACATGACAGCTAAGGTCAGAAGATCTTTATAACAGCTGGTCTTATGTTTGTGACCCCTCCTGTTGTTCATTGATGAGCCTGAAACATGCTATTGTCAAGGGTCAGAGGCACATTTTGCAAATATGTCAGAAGCCATCGATCATCTTAAGATAAGATATACTTTATTTTTCACAAGCGGGGCCATTTTTTCGTTACAGCAGCATGTGTAACAGTTGGAAATATGCAGTGGTGTTTATTTAGAAATCATTTAGTATAATCACACAAATTCTATGTTTTATATTTAATAATTCTCTGTTCCTCATTTATTGGATGTTCAATACCTGACAAGGTCGGAGATTAAAAAGGTCAGAGATGAAAAACTTTGGTCGCAGGTTCCTCAACAGTGCATTACAAGACATCTATCGATATGTGTGTATACCTCCACCATTAAACTGTCATATTCTGCACATTTCTTATACTATCTAGATACATCTTATAAGAGTATACTACATATGTATAATATCAGTTAAAATAAGTGCTTCAACATAGTTAACATTGCAGGAAAGTTGATTGTCAAGTTCCAAAACAAACTATGCAATATATTAAACGTTAAGCACTTTGTCAGACTTAATATTGGTCTGTAGATACCCCCAAAGCTTTTTTCTTATTTAAAAGAAGACCTTAACTTAAAGTAATCTTTAATGTTAAAAAGAAGCCTATTTAGTTTGTCTGTTTTGCACATCCTCCTATTAATATCTTTGGACGTCCGGCACTAAACTGTTTTATTGTAGAGATCACAACAGTATCTTCTTGATATTTTCATCTATATTTATATGATTGACCTTCTACTTTCCCCCTATGTATGTACTCTTAATATTTGTATGTTTCATGAAATATAACATAATTCAACAAACAAATTCAATAACGTGCTTTAACCACTAGGCGGTACGGGTTAAAAAAAACTGTCAACTTTAAAGTGTTAACAAGACAAATTATACTGCTGTTTCCAGTTTAGTTTATGATGGATGTATTTTGTTATCGACACATATATTGTTTTGATATTTGTGACACAAATCTTCGGAAAAAGTGTGTTTGGTATCTGAAATAAATTAGGGTTATGCAGGTAGCGGAGAGTGGTCTGGCTCCGTTTCCACGGCAACGGTGGCTGAGGATCATGGGTAATCTAGCCTTCCGCTGTCCAAAAAGACCACAAAAAAACGAGTAAAAAACCTTTGAAGCCCCTGTACTGATATTTAGAAGTTATCTACTGGCACTTCAGCATATTAACTGGAGAAAGAATGATAACACTAAATTCCTCCCATCAAGAGCTCCCCATCAAACACCGCATTGACTTTAAAATATTACTTTCAAAGCCCTCAACAACCTTGCCCCCCCCGTCGCCTCAGATGTTAGCTGAAGCTAACCTACTGCAGCCCATCAGGACAAAGCTCCAGACCTAGGGTGACAGGGCCTTCGCAGCAGCCTCCCCCACTCCCTCTCCAGCCACGTCAGATCCGTCAACATCATTCAAACAATCTCTCAAAACTCACCTTTTCACTCTTGCCTTCAACTCCTAATCAACTAACCCTTTCTCTTATTCCACCTAGCTTAGCACTTTCTACTTTTGTTGTTATTTTTGTTTTACTTGCTTGTAAGCGCTTTGAGGACCAGAAGCACTTTATAAATGTAATGTATTATTAAATTAAAATAGCCTACAAACAGTGTATTCTCAAAGGATTGAAGCATTGGCTACTTATTTCTTGATATGTTGTGCATTAAGCATTCTGTTATTAATGTTTTCAATAATGTACTATCATCCCAAGGACCGCTTGTGGGCTGCTTCTGTGTATTTCAATCAGGAGAGACTTCATTTTGTTTAAAGAACATTTATTGACACATGCCATACGTGAAATGTTAAGTCTTTGGCGATTAGACCCCGATCCTGAAATGGTATATCGAAAGGGGGAAATGCAGCTGTGAGCATATAGGGAACCCCTCCGGGGTCTAGTCACTGGTGGTGATGCTGAAGATCTGGATTTGATGAGGAGATGGGATGAAGAGGGGGTGTGATGAGGTCTTTGGATTAGCTCTCCTGGCACTGGATGTGATGAAAGGAGGTGGATGAGGAGGAGGCGGGCGGAAGCATGAACACCTGAAATCACAGCTGACTGCCATTTTAAAGTTTGGCTGCAGCACAGTGATTGGCTGCTGGAGAATGAGGTGAATGTAATATGTTAAAGAGAACGCCTGTGATGAGCTGATTATATGCAGCTGCGGAGTGAATGTATATATACAGTATATATATATATATATATATTATCTATATACCCCGTCTTCCTGAAAGAATTTGCGCTCAGCTTCATTTTACATCAATATGCAATTCACCTGTGAAATTAATTGCCAGTGGCCATAAAACAATGCATACAGGGATCCTTCAAGTCAAAAAAATGTTAAGTCTGTTGCACTTTATTAATTCCATACAAACACCAAAACATGTATTGTTTTGTTTGGCAATGGGATTTGCATGGGGTGGGAATCAGGCTGCTTGCCAGGATGGAGGCCAGCACATACCACTGAGAAAGAAATTGTTAGGATCTGTCTGTGTTGGTGTTTTTCTTGTCTTTTTCTATCTTTGGGTTTCCTGTTTTATTTTGTAAAGTGTTCACCCCCGTTTCCTGCCTGTTTGCTTTCTGTCTGTTTCCCTCCCCGATTACCCGATTGTGTTCACCTGGTACCTCTGTGTTTTCTCCTCCCTCCTCACCTGTCTCGTGTTTATGTGATTAGTCCTGGGTGTATTTAAGTTCTGGGTTTTCTGTCTCTCTTTGTCGGGTTGTCTTGTGTTATGACCAGTTCATCGGTGAGTGTTCCGTGCTGTCTTTGTGTAGCCTATATCTAGCCTTGAAATAAAGGAATTATTGTTACTCTAATCTGCATTTGGGTCCTGCTTCCTGCACACCGTAACAGCCACCGTAACAGAAATAAAATAAAGGGAGGGTGAAGAAGAATTAGTGAGCAGTAATACACATTAAATTGATTTTCATTAGGCTACTGTAACATTTGTATACTGTTTTATAAACGTTTGAAGACAAGTGCAGTGTTGTATGAAGTATTTGGTATTCCACTGTATGGATGCAGCGATTAACCAATGTCACTTTTAACAGTTCAGCTACACTGAGTGTTTTTGTTCTCACTCTCTAAAAAACTACATTATGGTATGTTAAGGTTCATTACAGCAACTGTTGCTCATTGGAAAATATGGAAAACGGGTTAATCGTGTTAACAAAGGTAAAAAGGCACAGTAGCTGAAAATGCCAAAATGTTGTGGAAAAATCCTATAAAACCTCTAATTATAAGTACACATTCATCCATCCTTAGTGTAATAATTGTAAAACCCAAAGGTGATGTTTCCTCAGACTATTATCATAGCATCAAAATGTAAAATAATTGCATCCCTAGAGCCTTACAGCACAACATTTCAAGTGAATAATAACTCCTCCAACAGGCACATTGTATTCTAAGATAAGGGATAACATAGCATTTGATAGATAACAAACAGTCTATAGATCCCCTTGGGGAAATTATATCATGATGCGTTTGTTACGTTACAATTGTATCTGCCCAATAATAGGGTACCGATATATTTCCCTTTGTTGTAGTTTACGGTTTCACCACTTGATTGTCATCACTGTTGTTAATTTGCACTATCTGTAGATGAATGTCTAATCATAATTCTTTGACCTAGTTCCTTTACATTTCTGTTGGTGTTTGGTGATTATTTACTAATACTTTAGTAAGTGTGGACTTAACGCCAGAGTAGCTAACGTGAACCTGGTGTCTCTGTGGTGTAATCAAATATTGACACAGCTTTAATTAAATAAACTACCTAGTTTCAATGTATCGTTTAGTGTGGACTTTGCACATTTAAAATAACTTGTGTATAGCTGGTGCTACAGACAGCAGAACTTTTTGCATTTTTCTTTAACAAATGCCACCTAAGATAATGGCATGCCAACAATTACCACAAATGTACACATAGATGTAATTGTACAAAAGCCAATTAACATACCAAATGGTGCAGGGCTCCCAGTCATAAAGGTGCTCCGTCCCCCCCTGTGGTAGGCAGACAAAGACATTGTACATCTGTATGTTATTTGAACGTTGTACTTTCACAAGTACTTATATATGTATTATTCAAATAGTTTGCATATATTTAAAAAAATAGTCATGAAAAAAGACATCTGACCGACTAGAGGGATTTACAGGATGTTTACACAAATAGCTTAATATTGTGAATTGGACAACAGCATTCCTTCAAGGTAAGATAAAGTCATTGCTATACAAATTCAGAAAAGTTATCCAACAGCAAACACTGTCATCCAGGTAATCATTATCCTACCTTTCGGTTCCTTGTCTTTATTATGTTGCGGACAGGGAACACCTCCAGATGGTTGTGAGAGCAATCTGTAATTGTATGGAATACATTATTTGCACAAATGTGCAGAACAGGTAAAGTATGTTTTGTATTGGGCTCATCTCAGAATGCACAAACATTTCCACTGTGTGACATAAGCACATTTAGTGTTTCCTACTGAGCAATCACAGAAGTTTAAGAGTCTACACATGCTTTTATTCTAAATCTTAGCTTCTCTGCCATTCCTTCGGGATGTTGCTGTGTCTGCTAATGGACTGATTACATCTTACATTGCTTGCTACTGAATGGATATGTTTTAGTCTTATATTCATTACACTAGTACTTGGGGTCTGTAGCACTATATTACATTAAGCAAGGATGTGCAAGCTTTCTATTCAATTATAAAGTATAGAAAGGTTTTAATGAATGTGACTTCAGCTTATCAGACAACATACATACAGGTTACTCTGTTGTGTCTTTGTTTTAACTCCAAAATGTGCATGTGTGCGAAACATAAATATAGCATCCATGCATAACATTTGAAGGCAAATATGAGTCCGGCCTTTAATAAATCAATGTTTGGAACGTCTACAAAAATCGCAACATTAACTTACTGATGCTTATGTGGCATCTAAATGTGAGTAGAATACAAGCTAAACATACCTTTAATTGTTTTGGTTCTTTTACGTGGCTGCCGCACTGGTGGGATTTGGTGTGATGGTTCCAGCATAATTTGAACCTGGTGTGATGGTGGGTGGGTGCTGGGAGCCTGGTTTGGTGGTGGGTGGGTGCTGGGAGCCTGGTTTGGTGGTGGATCTGCTGTTTCCTGTGGTTGCTGGTTATGGGTGATGGATCACATGACACCAAATTTAAGATGTAGCTTCCATCGGGCAGTTGGTTGGGTGGGTCTTGGGGTGGTGTTGGTGTGTCAGGGTGCTCCTCTTGGTCTGGGTTGAGTCGTGTCCAACCTACAAAGAGTTTGTTGTACAAATCTGTTTAAAAGCCCACATATTTATTTATTTATTATGTATAATACCATAAATGTTGCATTGGTTAGTTATCTGTTCATATATAATATATTTATATACATATCCACATCTGTTTATACAACCTTTTCATTCATGCCTCCCCATATTAGTATTTCATTTTACTTTCTGTTTTATCTTATTCTATTTTATATGTATATATTTGACTTATTCCTGCATGTAAGTTTTGCACCTACGTTGTTGGACTAGTTTCTTCTTGCACTATTTTATTTCTTCTTGTACTATTTGTATGCTGCATTGTTGGAGGAGCCTGGGAGTTAAGATTGTCATTGCCAACAACTACGCTGTAGCTGTGCATATGACAATAACACCTTTGAACATTGAATGTTCGAAAACAGGAACATGGAATACACACACATACATTATCAATGTGAAAAACATGCAAACAAAGGCAACCCTAACCTAAACTGTAAAAAACAAGATTGATTGAGTATGATGTCACCCACAGGTATCTGCTTGGCATCAGGGCAGAGGAGCCAGAGAAGCTGAGGGTTGTCCACAGAGCCACTGCTCAGCGCAATTTATTTGAAGAAGATACCATTTTTTCTGACTATGTGACTGTGACTCTGATTGTGGTGGAGGAGGTCCCAGAACACTTGTCCCCTCTTAATTCTTACATTCAGGGCGTCCTAGCAGTGCCAGTGGTCCACCATGCAGCATTACGAGTATCATACAGTAATTAAATGTTTACAACAATCAATGATCGCAAAAGTCAATGGTATCCCCCACACTGGGTTATCATTGGAAAATGGAAGTTTGATAAGTGAACAAAATGTATTTATTACATTTTTGGCCAGCAATATAATTAGGACTCATATGTGAGATTGTGCGAGAGCTGTCACTGGCTTTACTTCTAGACTTTGCTATCCAAATGTGTAGGTGGGAAAGATGTGCTGGGTGAGGTCACTTGAGAAGACGTGTGTGGGGGCCGCAGTGTCTTCAGCGCGCTCTTTGTGCACCACAGAACGCTTTGGAGACACAGTCTGGTACTTGCATCTGTTCTGCTATTGTTTACTGCTATTTCATGTTATCTTGGATTGTTGTCATCAGCTGTGGTGCGCTCCACAACTGACCATGAGTGTCAGTACTATACTGTTTCAACCATCTCCTCTGCGCTCCGATGGGGAATGTGATGGCGAGACAGTGCTGATGAAATACAAAGTGGATTTGATTTGAGATTTGAGTTGGCTTACTTCTTTTACAATTGAAAGATGCTTATGGAATTAGTTATGGCTCACAAGCATATGCACAAATAACACTGATGGTTTGAATGTAGGATCTTTAAGAAACGTGTGATAGTAACTGAAATTAAATATGAGAGAGGCTTTATTATATGTATAATGATGCTTATAACATGTATTTCTACAATCTGGCTTCAATTCACCACCTTACCATCTGCATAGACAGTTTCCCCTGTCACCATAATCTTCTGTAAACATTTTTCAAAATATAGATTACAACTTTTGCATGGGAAGTGGCATACACCTCTTTCAAGCCCTGTTTTGTGCATACATAACAGTTATAAATGAGACCCCAGCTTTTTTAAATGACTCTTTGTTGCTTTGAAATAAACAGGACAAATCAACACCACACATTGTATAACAGATAGTCAATATATGCATGAGTGACTCGTGCAGATGGTTATTAAATAAATGCAATCTCACCTGCAACCATCAGCTTGTAGATGGCCTCCACATTGTCGAGGCATGTCTTGGCTGATGTGCTAAGCTGGGCATACATGGGCATCAAAACCTTTGTTTTAGATGTCCGTGGCACCAATTTGGTAGGGGGATACGCCAGCAGCAGCAGGGGCTTCAAGCCAAGGGCATGTAACTTTTCCAGCTGGGAAAATAATTGTTGAGAGGTAGAGAGATTAATTAGATAAATACACAAAACTGTTGTTTACATTTGAATTTATCTGCAAGCTTGCCCTGAAGTAGCATCAAAATAAATCTACACTAATATCCTGGCATCATAATAAAAACAATGATTTGTTCATAATGTTTTGTTGGATACATTTGGGATTTTTAACTTATGAGACACTTCCTAAACTTCCTACACATAATAGTTAATTCTGTTTGAAAATCATTAATCATGAATGATATTCTCATTAATGTGGATGTGAAGCAATACCAGTTAATTTATAATCCTCTGTCAAAGTAATAAAACTACTTTTCACACTTTTGGTGAATGAGATCATTCTGTAAACTACATACCAGAAGGGCGGCGTCATCAATAACGTGGGACTTGATTCTGTTTTTAGTCATGGATGACAACCACTGCTTGTGCTGGCTTTGGAATTTGTCCATTTTCTTTTTGAGTCTCACATTTTTTGGCTGTGGATGTTCACATAGTGGACAGATTTTATTTCCACAGTAAATTTGTTCACTACAGTTTGGGCAGGTCTTTTTTTGTGACCCTCCAGCCATTTGTAGGAGTGAGAGAAAGACAGGAGAGTGATTAACAGAGAAAGTGAGAGAGTGATTAAAAGAGAAAGTGAGAGAGTGATAGAAAGAGAGACAGTGAGAGAAAGAGTGGCTCTTAAAAGTGCCGTTGGTTGTATATGTGTGTGTGTGTGTGTGTGTGTGTGTGTGGATATGTGTGTGTTGGTGATATTAAGTGTTGTAATGAAGCTGTAAAACAGAAAAAAAGAAAAACATGATTAGGATTATTTCGAATAACAGTAACATCTGTGTAATACTCTATGCAATAATACAATTAATTAATAAAATAATAATTAACCTGTGCATTACTCTATATGCAATAATAATTCATCTGAGCAATACTCTGGCATACATTATGCATTTATACTGTGCATATTGTTATATTATGCACTTGTTTTTCTTATATCTTCTACTATATATTTAAATTCTACAATGTAACAATCCCAATTTCCCCCGGAGATCAATGAAGTATTTCTGATTCAGAGTGGGACATTGGGTGGCCAGTCAAATCCTCTGGAAAAACTCCAGTTCCACATTTTTGTTCCACTCCATAGCCGATGCATTAGCCACTATTAAAACTGTGTTGAACACTGTCTTTACAACACATGTGCAAATACATAAATGTAAACATATTTTTCTAGCACGCACCTCCACTATCCAACTGTGCCGGTGACAGCTAATGTAATTTAGCTGTATAAACTATAAATGCTATCCAGCTCAAAACGTTGACCGGAAGGCCGGAGGCTAGCTGAACGTGGCCGCTAGTTGGCCTATTGTAAAAGCTAAACACACTACAAAACTCAAACTAATATCCAGGAATTAAACGCTATAGAGACTGTGCTACAGTGGAATAAATAAAAGCAATATTATTTCGTGTTTTAAAGAAATAAACTCCCCTTGATTTTAGATACTTACTGTTGTCCGTTGTCAGATTAAATCGGATGAAATTAATGAAAGTGAGGTGATTGTGGGTAACGTGGCTACGTCACGTTAACGTAAAGCGTGACGTAACGTTGCCGGGGTAACTACGGAATCTTCTTCTGGTTTATTGTTGTTATAATAAAAATGATTATTATTACTATTAAACAAAAAGCATTTCAAATACAGTCAGTAGCCAGTGGGGGGAGTGGTTTTCACCATCATTATCATCATTGTATATGTTTTAAATGACTAATATTGGCCTACAATACCCCTTTATTGATCAAATAGGAATATAATTGTCTTTTAAATAACGTAAACTAAAGGGAACAATCTATTTGACACAGCTGAAGCTCTGGCCTTCCTTAAAAACCAAGTAATTTAATAAAAATCACAGTTGTATTACACACAATGCACTGTTTTTTGAGAACAGAAATTGATAAATAATGCACCATAATACATTCTGACGAAAAATAAAAATTATTATGAATACAAATCAAATAAAAGAAGCCTCCCGTGAGTTACTACAAGCTATAAAGTAGATTTTAAAAACGTTTTATAGAGTAAAAGCTTACTGCGGGACGTTGTAGAAATGCGTGTGTGCACCACGACAAAAGAGCCTCATTCACTTTACATTGGGGTTTTTTGCGTGGTGCCGACACGCAAATGTAACAGAATGCGTGACTCCACCACGCAATGCGGTGTTAAGGTTGCGTGGTGGAGTCACGCATTCTGGCCAGGGGTAGAAACATGTTTTTTTCTGCTGTAAAATCGGGCATTTTAACATGGGGGTCTATGGAAATTGCTCCTTTCTGCAGCCATCGCCTATCGGCCAATATATGACCTGCAGTGTGTGGCACTTCCGTATTGGCTTCCCGGCTCTACCCCACAGTTTGCCGCTTGGTACCAAGTCAAAGTCAAGTCAAGTCTTTTATCAATGTTAGTCAAGCAAGTCTCAAGTCAAAAAATATGCGACTCGAGTCTGACTCGAGTCAAGTCATGTGACTCGAGTCCCCACCTCTGGACTCTACATCCAATAATTGTGAGTCAGCTGTGGGTGCGTTACGGCCGAGCCGAGGGAGATCTGTTCGCATCAAAAGCAAATGCTCAATGTCAGCTGTTCTATTGAATGCGCGATTTAAACGCACCGTTAGGCGTGGACGCGCTCGCGCACGTTTGGCCTCCAGTCCTTCGTTACGCGTTCCCACCCCTGGCTCTGATACCCCCAACTCTGGCCAGAGTGAGAGAACAACGCCACACACTTATCCTGATAGCTCCGCACTGGCCTGCAATGTACTGGCTGGCGGAGATATATCAGCTGCTGTGCGGGCAGCCGTGGCAGCTCCCACTACGCAGGGACATACTGTCTCAGGCGGGGGGGACGATCTTTCACC